AAGGTATGGAGCAATTGTAGTAGGAACTCAGTAACAGCAATACAAAGCTAATATTTACTGAGTGCCTCTGTGTTATGCACTGTGCTGAACATTTTGCATACATGCCCTTCGTTCCCCAGATGAAGTTCAAGTTCATCCTGCCTCTTGCATTTTGTCAGTGCACATTCCTGCCATTTTTGGTCAAGTGGATTCTTCCTTTTGTGTTTACCACGTCAGACTTTGAATCTCTTGTTTCTTGGCCATTTTTTCATTCACCAAGTATTCACGTGCCATCACTCAGCTACTCACTGGTACTACAGAAATGAACAAGTGGAAAAGGGCACAACTCTAGTCTTCAAGGGGCTTTCATTCTGGTAGACAGACCAGAGACTCAGTGATTATAAAACTTCTCTCATGATAGGCCATCTACTACACTTGGAGGTGAGTGAGAAGGGCAGGTTTGGGAAATGTTCTTACTGTGCATGCACACAATTATTTAGTTTAACGCTATGCATAATAGTTAATAACATATAACTATGATGATTGGTATTATATTATACTATTTATTATATATTATGTTAGCTATGTGATATTTATGTTCTATACATCCAACATCATTATATTCAGATGAGGTTAACAATTTAAATGTTCATCAGTGGGGGGGGGCATTAAATAAACAATGAACCACTGATGTTCTGATACAGAAATAGCTCCAAAATATATGATAAGTAGAAAAAAGGAAGACATCAGAAGAGTACATGTCATATGCTGTCTTTTGTGGGGGGCAAGGAAGATAATCACATTTTCTTGAATTTCACATAGACACTTTGGAATCATGTGCATAGCATTAAAAAACAAACAAAACAAAAGTGGTTGCCCATTGGGGAGCAGAGATGAGGAAACCAGACAAAGGGGTGCACAAAGGTAAGAGGGAGTACTTTCACTATATACATTTTTATGTTTTTGGACTGAATGTATTATCTATTTAAAAAATTAACATGTCCTGAAACTTTGGGGGAAAGGGTATCTACTAGTGGACTGTGGCCAGGTGGCTGGAGACCTGAGAGGGAGGAAGGTGGGTGGAGAGGCATTCCAAGCACAGTGCTGCATGCTGGGAGACCTGCCATGCTTGCAAACCTATCATGTTCTGTGAAGATGGCAGGTAGGCTACTTTAGGGGAGTGTTGGGAGATGTGCATGGGAATCCTACAGGGGGCAGGTCCTGAAGTCCTCATGTAATAAGATATTAATTCAGATTTCATCTTGAAGGTAATGGGAATCTTTGGCTGGTGATCAGAAGAAAAGTGAGTGATCAGATTGGCACTTTGTAATCATTCCCGTCCCCAAGGGAAGCAAGTATCCGTGTGATGGGTGAGGCAGAACTGGGGCCAGGAAGACTATTTAGGAAGTTACTGGCCATCCTTCCGGTAGAAATGATGAGCATATGAACCGAAGTCTGTGCTCACAGAGAGGAGGGACTAACAGCTTGAACCATAGCTAGCACACTCGACTTGTCATCTCCTCCATGGATTTGATTTTGTTTCTTTCCTAATATTGTCCAGTTTTTCTTTGGATTCTACGTTAAAGTTTAACTCGGTGGGGTTAAAATTTTGCAGGAGCCCCAAAGCTACAGGCTTCGGTGAGATCTGGGTGATAGGAACCTCTTCTCTGACTTCCACTTTCTCTCTTCTGCTCATCCTGGGTGCCTGGGAGGGAAGCCCAAGGCAGGGTGCTGCTCTGCAGGGACAGTGGCATTGGCCCAGGGTGGAGGCCAGAGCTTCTGTGCTGGGGCCAGTTGAGCTGGGCACGTGGTCCCACAGGGGATGCCAGGCCATTGCCTTCTTTCCAAATTCTGCTATTTTTTGTTGGTTTGTTTTTGTCAAGCTTGTACATAGTCCCTGTAGATGGTTATGACTGGGATTTCATTTTTTTCAGTTCCAAGCTCTACGCTCAGGTGGGACAATTGTACAGGCAAGATTCATCAGCAGAGCAGAGCTGTATCATGGGCATATCATTCAAATACTTCCCTCTCATTTGCCAGAGAGCTGCTGCCTTTGAGCCCTGAGACAGCTCTCCATAATCCTGCCCACCTCCATTGGCCTCTCCCCGTATCTTTCTAGATCTCTCTGTGCCTCTATTGCCATCTCAAACCCTTTATCTGTTTGCAAAGTTGGTGCCCACGCAGCATAGGCTGCAACCATCACCCCCCTTTTCAGGAATAAGACAGACATCTCAGCACATGTTAGGCAACTGCTACAGCAAGTATTCCCTTGTCATCACATTAAAAATTGCAATTCCAATAATTATAAACATATTTTTAAGAAATAAGTGGAAAATACAAAAAGCCCATGTAACCACGCAATAATAAATAATTTGACAATTGTGAAACAATTTCAGAGTATATTCTATTTTAATATAAAAAGATAAAATATTGGAAATCTTGTCTCACAGGTGTATTACCCAAGAAAAGTCAGAAACAAGCAACTAATTCTTTTATTGTTGGAAGGCTGACTAGTACAGTCAGGTCTATATATGCAGGTGGACAGTTTTGAATGTTCCCTAAACAAATATGTCAAGGAATTATGTATAACTGAGGAGTACTTTGAGGTGGCAACATATATTTTATTTTATTTAGTATTTCTCCTTAGTGTGTGTTTTTATGTGCCAGTTCAGTCTCTTATCAAATAAATACTATAACCTTGCCATTCATTTGATATGGCAAAATGACTTTCTGATTCCACACTATTCTGCTGCATTCTAAAAAATTTAAACATTATGCTATCTTCCACAAAGTGGTTAGCAATTTACTATGAATAATTTTTTAAAAGGAGGGAGATCTGTCCAGATATGAAAGATTCTAGAAAAATGCTTCAGAATCAAAAAAGAATAAAAACCTTTAGAATCTAATATATAATAAAAGAGTACTCATTTACCTTAAAAATAGTGTGAAAATTTTTAAGAAAAAATTTATCTCCATATTTTTTTAAAACAATGACTGAAACATATATATTTACCACAGTTTCATATGCAACCACTGGGAAATTAAAGAATGACCAGAAAATAGGAAAAGATGATAAGCATCTATTGACAATTGGCAATATATGAAAACCATGAATAATCAGATTTCCTGTTACATCTCAGAAGGAAAATTCCTAAGTCTCATGGCCCAACTTCTTTCTTTTTTATTTAGTGCAGAATTTGTCTTTCATTGAACTAGAATCCTAAACAATCTTCTCTTTGATTTTTTATTCTAATCTTTATTCCTTCTAGAGAATTATATTTCAAATGCTCTAAAACACTTTTTAAAAACTTGAATATGCAGGTTAAAGAACAATAATTCATACATTATACAAGTGAGGTAAGACTGCTACATGGCCAGCCCCAAATGAGCCATGGCTCCTGATACTGTCACTTTTCCATAACAACCCCCCTACATTCAACTTGGGCTTGGTCATATGGCTTGCTATAGTCAATGGAACAATAATAAGCATTACTCAAGTAGAAGCTGCATAAACACTTACATGTTGGTCTTCTCTTGGAACCTAGCTGCCTTGCTATAAGAAAGCCTGTCAAGTTTCTGCAAAAAAACAAGCCATATGGAGGAGAATGGTCCAATAGCTAGAACCAGACATATAAGTGAGGTCTTCTTAGAGATTCTAGCACCAGCAGAGCTCCTGGTTAAAAGGTACATATGAGTGACCTTGGACCATATCCTGTGTAGCAGAAGAATACTTAGCTGAACCCTGCTAAATTCCTGATCCACAGAACTCTAAGCAATACATTTATATTGCTCAAAGTAATTCCATTTTGGAGTGGTGTGTTATGAAGCAGTAGATAATCGATATAATAAGTGCTAGCAAGGGTTTTTCAACCTTCTTTCTATAAATAATTCCAAGGTACATTCTTAACTGACACACACCTCTTTTTTTTTTAAAGATTTTATTTATTTATTCATGAGAGACAGAGAGAGAGAGAGAGAGAGAGAGGCAGAGACAGAGGGGGAAGCAGGCTCCATGCAGGTAGTCCGACGTGGAACTTGATCCCGGGTCTCCAGGATCATTCCTTGGACTGAAGGCAGCGCTAAACCACCGAGCCACCTGGGCTGCCCCTGACACACACCTCTTATATTTCTGTTGTCTATTTATTTACTATTGAGCCTGTATCTTTTTTTTTCTGACTCGACCTCTAACCATTTGGACAGAGGACTGAGAGAGATGGTTGGTTTATATGAAAAGTGTGATTAAAAATGGCTTTATTACATATGATTCAAATAACATTCCAAGTCCTTGTTGGATCTTAAAGGAACATCATTCTTGATAATGGTACATATCCTAAGTTAATTCCACTTTACGCTGTAATCAAATTGCGGGTGGGACAATCTGGTAGAAAAAAAATGAACAGATTCCTAGCACATGAACCTTATGTGGTCCATTCAAGCCATTTCTTCTCTATGCTCCTTTATATGGAAGTGTGTCTTGACACCAGATTTTAGGCAACACAATGTGGAAAACTCTTTGGTGGGATTTGTTTTTTAAGGATTTATTATTTGAAATATGAGGCTTAGTAGATTGAACAGGCCATTGGGTGTGTTTGCATCCTTCTTTCTCTGGAATTAATGCGCATTAGTAAGAATGCTTTGGAAGTAGAAGTAGTAGCAGAAGTGTAAGTAGAAGAGCCCAAAGTAGAGAATGTACAGGCTATTTCTGGGGGACAGTGATGCTATTTCATTGAATGGTGTGTATTCTGTATTAAGTTAGAAGCTATAATCACTAACTAGTTCTTTTTTTTTTTTTTCACTAACTAGTTCTAAAACAAAGTACCTGGATACCAAGAGGAAAAGATGTAGCCTCATTAAGTATAGCTGATATTAGCATACTTGCTACTATTTCCATTGTTTAAAGGATATTCTCCATGTGCTTATTTAAGGCATAATCTACCAGATGGATGTGGACAAAAGGTTTATTTACAAAATGCCCATAAAGGAGAGTCTTGATTAGGCAACAATACAAATATGCTACTTACAGAGAGTAGTATCTGGACAGCACTGTGGATGACCTCTAGGTACTGGAAGTCAACAAAGCAGCCTGTGACGGAGACATATGTGTAGTCATCCATCATGCCGTGGGCTGACGGAGGCAGCACTCTTCGGACACAACCAGGCCCATGCTCCCGCCACCATGACCGGTGTACAGAAATGTTGAATGTCATCAGATCTGTATCCTAGGTGGGCAGAAGACAAGAGAACACAAGAAGACAAGCCTGTCATAGCACATCTTTGATTTTCAACCTTAGGAAGATTTTTGGATGAACAAAATTATTGAAATGATTTAAATTTCAAGTGAAAAATAACAAAAGGCAGAACCACAAATGGCTCTTTATACCTTATATCTAAGCTATTGGATTATAATAGTTTAATATAGAGATAAAGTCCTTTGAAGAGTAACAATTTAAGACTAGTGCACATTAAAAATCCAGAGACAACCACATGCAGAAGAATGAAACTGGACCACTCTCTTGCACCATACACAAAGATAAACTCAAAATAGATGAAAGATCTAAATGTGAGACAAGATTCCATCAAAATCCCAGAGGAGAACTCAGGCAACACCCTTTTTGAACTTGGCCACAGTAACCGGAAAAGGACAAACAGTGTATGTTCTCATTCATTTGGGGAATATGAATAATAGTGAAAGGGAATATAAGGGAAGGGAGAAGAAATGTGTGAGAAATATCAGAAAGGGAGACAGAACATAAAGACTTCTAACTCTGGGAAATGAACTAGGGGTGGTGGAGGGGGAGGAGGGCGGGGGGTGGGGGTGAATGGGTGACGGGCACTGAGGGGTACACTTGACGGGATGAGCACTGGGTGTTATTCTGTATGTTGGTAAATTGAACACCAATAAAAATTAATTTATAAAATTAAAAAAAAAATCCAGAGACAAGACCATCTATGTATGTTCATTTTAAAAATTACTTTGTTCATTTTGAAACTTTTTGTCTGCATTTTCCTATTCATCATCGTTGGGATCACCATCACGGTCTAACATATAATGAGTGCTTTTTTGCATGTTAGACATAGTTCTAAGCGTTTTTCATATATTATACCCTTTAATGTTCATGCAAGTACTATTACTAACCCAATTTATAATAGGCTGAATAATAGTCCTCCCAAAAGACATTCAGGTCCTACTTCTTGGAACCTGTAAATCTGACCTTCTTTGGATTCTCTGAGTGGGCCCTAAATGCAATCACATGTATCCATATGAAAAGGAGTCATAGGGAGATGAGACACAAAGAAAAAGAGGAGAAGGCAATGAGACGATGGAGGCCGAGAGTGGAGTGATGTGGCCAAAAGCCCGGGAAAGTTGGCAGCCATTAGAAGGTGGAAGAGACAAGGAAGGATTCTGTTCTAGAGCTCCAGAGGGAGCATGGCCCTGTCAACACCTTGATTTCAGAGCAGTGAATCAGATTTCAGACTCCTGGCTTCCAGATCTGTGAGAATAAGTTTCCATTAAGACCTCAGGTTTGTAGTATCTTGTTATACAGCAGCCATAAGAAACTAACACAGGTAAGGAAATAAAGTCACAGAGAGGTAAAATAAATTGTCCAATTTAATGAATAAATTTTAAAAATTGCTTTTTTGGTCCGCCTGGGTGCCTGGGTCCTTTCTCCTCAATTGTTTCCAGAAAATACCACTGACAGCTCCAGCAAAAGAATAAAGAAGGCAATCCTTGATATTTACATATCAAAATAGCTTTCAGGAGTTCTTAGCAGAAACAACAGCCCAGGTGTTTAATCCTCAAAAGATGCCTTTTAGTAATTTGGGGGGAATGTCAGCCTTGTACAACTAAGATCATACTGTTTTTCCCTTAACAATAGATTGAAAAGAATAGATGAAGAGCCAGGCTCACAAATAGCCTCACAAAAAAACTAAAAATTGCAGCTGCAGGGTGGAGCCAGAAGGAGGAAGTGTGATGATGGAGAGAGGGCAAGAGGGCCCAAGGACTAGGACACTGCACCTGCAGGGAAGCCACAGGAGCAGGGTCAGCCTTTCTTGATTTCCCAGTGAGCAAGCTCTGGTGTCACTACTGCCAAGGGGTGGTGGTCTTGGCTCAGAAGCCCAGGGGCTGCCTAATACAACACAAATGATGCTCATCCCTACCTCAGTGAGATGAGGACAGTCCCTATCTGAATGGCACAGAGAAATTCTAAGGACCAGAAATTGATTTTTGGAACTGTGAAAACACAGAGGCACCTGGTATGAAATGGAAAGCCCTTCACTTGATGGGATGAGCACTGGGTGTTATACTATGTATTGGAAAATTGCTTTTCAATAAAATATTAAAGGAAAAAGAGATGGAAAGCCCTTCCATATATATGATGGGGGCTGAAAACAACCAGTGTGAGACCTCTTTGAGTAAGGACAATGGGCAAACTCTCCCCTGTTATTCTCTGCTGTATATGAACATGAACCATGAGGTAAGAAGTGCGTCCAGTTCATCTGAGTAGGCAAAGCTACTCTGCAGTTTTAGGTTCTCCTCAACTCAAGGAATTCAAATTGAGACAGGGCAACCCTGCCCATGAAATCCAGCATTTCTCAATAGTGGAAACTATACCTCTTGAGTAGCTTATCTGGTAGGAATGAGGAAGCAGGATGTTCACCAAAGGAGGGACTCCACTGGGAGATTGGTGAAGACCAAACCAGTCTGTGGCAAGGTGGGCCCCAGCACTGAACTTTCCCCTCCCCCTTGTAAGATGCTAAAAATCATGTGTGTGGGGGGGTTAACATGCTTATTAGACATATGATGAGTGAAGAAGCATGAGATCATGGCACGTGCAAGTGTGCAGGCGCCAAGAAATACCCATCTCTACATGCTTGAATGTCAGTCTTTTCCTGTCTCAGCTCCTTAAAAAATTTTTCCTGGCCTTTGTTCTGAAACCCAGTCTGAAGGACACTTTCCTTTCTGCTGTCTCCCTTGGGCTGGGGTATAAACCCCAATATAAAGCCTTGCCTGGAACTTCCTGCTTGGCCTCTGGTCAATTTCTATTACTTGGAGAGCCCAAGGATCCTGGTTGGTAACAAAACTACTATTGTAAGTATACCTCAGATTATCTCGCTATTAAAACATTTTACAACTTTTTTTTTTCTTTTTTGGGTTGTTGGTTTGTTACACATATCATTCAGTTACCTTCACAGTTACAGCACTTTATTGATACTAAAGTATTTTACATCTTTTTTTCTTTTTTTTTTTTGTTCTTGGGTTTGCCACCTGTATCATTTGCAGTGCCCTCTGAAGGGAGAATAGTATAGAAAAATAATTGCTTTAGCTAGTGAGTTCCGTTTAACACAAGGCAATTTACCTGCAGGCAAACTGCACACTGACTGCTCCGTTTCCTGACCATCAGATTTAATCTCTTACAGTTAGTCCTGATCATAACCGAAAAACTATTATTTCCTGTTTTAATATAATTCATTAGGTTCAGGATGAACTGGCACGATCTCAAAAGTCATAGCGATTTCTACTCTTTAAGCATTCTTACCCAGTGGCCTTTTCTGTTGCTGGACTCTAAATTCCTTCCAATATGACTTGGACTAAAATTTATATTACACAAATAAAACAAAAGTAAATTTATGAACTCATGATATTTATTTGTTACACTAATAAAATCCCTCTGCGTAGTTCTCACTTAATTTGTTGGCACTATAAATATTTATAAACTGTACTGTTTTTTGCAATGACTGTATTAAAATTTGAATGAGAACATCGATAATATCAAATTATACTTAAAGTTCAAACTTCCAACTTATATTTGGTATAAAATTGTATTGCAAGTTTGTGTCTGATTTCCATCCCTTTCAATAGCTAGATTTCAAACATTAAAAACAACAACAAAAAAAAAAACAAACAAAAAAACAAACAAACCTTATCACTCGATAATTCAGTTTCCTGTAGGAGGCACATCAGAGGAAATGCAGCACAGAAAACTGTAACAATGTTTTTTTTATAAAGAAAAATAAATACAGATCACTTACTTTGTTGAAGCTTTTTGTTACCACATCAAAGCCTGTAGTTTTGAAATATATGGGTTAATGCTAAACCATAAATCAACAGCGTGATCTTCAAAATAATTTCAAGTACCTCCAATGTCATTTCCCTTTCACCTCTTGTAGTTACAATATTACATGATGATTTAATCACATCATGGTTAAGAAAATTGGCAACAGGGATTTTTGTCATTTTCTTTAGAATTTAAAAGATAAAAAGACTGATATTTGTATTTATGCAAGTGTCAGTGATTACCAAGGGACAGTTTGGAGAACAAAGAAGAAGAAAGCAAGGAGGGAGAGGAAAACATGAAACCAAGGCAGAAGGATTTGGGAGGCATGAGGGCAGCCTGAAAGAGCACGTCAAAGCCAACAGAAGAGAGAATCAGGTAAGGTGGTAATGCCATAGACTCAAAGCCTGGTAATAAAAAAGGACCACTGAATTTGATGACTGGTTGGGCAGGGGGAATTTATAAAATGCAATACCAGGATGGAGCACTCAGGTGGCTTAGTCAATTAAGCATCTGCCTTTGGCTCAGGCCATCATCTCAGGGTCCGGTGGGCTCCTTACTCTGCAGGGAGCCTGCTTCTCCCTCTCCCTCTGCCACTCCCCCTGCTTGTGTTCTCTCTCTCTCTCTGTCAAATAAATAAATATAATCTTTTTTAAAATGCAATACCAGCAGAGTATTGTGAGTGAAAAACTGGATTACAAGGAATGGATGAGACTGAAAAGACAGACTTTGGTGTCCTTCACGAAATTTGAAAGTCAAGGTAGTGAGAACACAGGGTGGTAGCTTCAAGGATGAGCAAGGAGAATATTAGTCAGTGCACGGAGATCCACACGTTAGCTCTGTCTGCTCACACTCACAGCATTATGACTTAAAAGAATATTACTCCAGAATACCTGCTTTCCCCAGGTATCTATTTAAGCAAGTATTAAATGGTTAAAAGTTCTTTGATCTCTCTAGTGTAAATTCCAAACTTGTTCCTGTTTTCTTCAAACACTTGAATTAAACAAAAAAGGGATTTCCAGAATTCTTTGAAATATTCTTTTTTTTAAAAAAAATATTTATTTATTCATGAGAGAGAGAGAGGCAGAGACACAGGCAGAGGGAGAAGCAGGCTCCACACAAGGAGCCTGACGTGGGACTCGATCCCAGGTCTCCAGGATCACACCCCGGGCTGAAGGCGATGATATACTGCTGAGCCACCAGGGCTGCCCTCTTTGAAATATTCTTAACTGAGTAGGTGGACATGCCTGCCTACATCCCATTCATTGTAAGTATACCCACAGTACTCGAGTCAACTCAATATTCACTTCTTTTATAGTATACCACAATATAATTTCTGATTAATCAAGGAGTTAGTGTCTGTCTTATTCTTATATGTACTTTCACTCATCTGCTTTTCTTGGTATGTCTGATTAAACTGTAGCTAATCCTCTCTACTTCTAGAAATGGATTCTCAACTGCTAATAATAGTCTTTTTTTTTTCCTGTTTCCTTAGTTGTGACTCCCAGGTCATTGAATCTACTTTTATATGGTTATCCACTTTTTTTGTCTTTTTACTATGTCCTATCATAAGCCAGCCCATCTGGAAGTGGACATTTATTTAACAAAATAGATTTTGCTCAATTTTAAAGAGTTAGCATTGGGCTTATATTTATATGATACAATTCATGTCAGTTGAAACTTCTTTTGAAATATTTGTTCATCTCAGAATATGAATTAGACAAGTTAAAACAACTTTCTCACATTTCTAGTTATTATTTTTTCCATCAAAGCACTAAACATTTCAGAGGGTACTGTAGGTCCATAGAATAAAGGGTAAACACAGTGCTTGGCAGTGAGATATAAGTGTTTGGAGCACATAATACAAAGATTTGGAACCAGTTCAAATATATCAACAATTATATGTTGTTTTCCTTAAAGACAGGTTTAAGAGATATTCATTCAAACTTCCATCAAGAAGCATCTGCCATTTGTTGGTGCTTTCTTAAAGAATCCTAGTACAAGCCATGGATGAGTCATAATCACTTAGGTTTGTGCCACTGGTTCTGAATGTAAAGAGCAGTCTGCACCTATAAATACAGAGAACAAAGTGATGGTTGGCAGAGAGCGGTGATGGGGGGAGGGCAAAATGGATAAAAAAGAGTGGGAGGTACAGGCTTCCAGTTATGAAATGAGTAAGTCACAGGAATAAAAGGCACTGCATAAGGAATATAATCAATGATATTGCAGTAGTGTTGTATGATGACAACTGCTAGTTGCACTTGGGAGCACAACATAATGCATAATTTTGTTCAATCACCATGTTGTACACCTGAAACTAATGTACATTGTGTTACAATATCATTGTGTGATATTCCAACCCTGAGCCCTGACTTATCCCAGAAGTCTCAGAGAAAAGTCAGGTTTGACCTCACAGGGGGAGGAGTCTCACCATCCTGTGCTCCCCAGACTAAAAAACTAAAAGAAAAGAGGAGTCTGTAGAATAAGTGGCCACTGATCATTCTGACTTCCTGTTTCCCATCACTACATCTAGGTATTCCTGGGATTTTTCAATTCTGTACCATTGGTCATAGGCCAAAGGTAGAACTAAAAGTAATCAAGCCTCTTGTTTTCATTCTGGGGCTTCATTCTCTGGATTGAACAGCTACAGGAAGCAAGGAAGTCTCATCTGTCCATTCAACAGGTATTTACAGAGCTTCTAATATGAGCTATGCATAAGGATGTAATATTGAATATAAGGGATCTTATCCCTGCCCTCATGGAACATATATTCTGGTGGATAGGATAGGTAACTAAGTAAACAAAGAAGTAGGCAAAAATAAGTATACATTGTAAAAACTAATATAAAGGAGATTATGTGCTGGAGAGTGGCTTGGATGTGGAAAGAAGTTACTGTATGCAAGGTGGCCAGAGAAAGCTTCTCCCACAGTGGATATTTGGGCTAAGATCTGTTAGATGAGAAAGAAGTAGACATGTGAAGATCTGGAGAAAGTGTTGCATGCTGATAGAACTGCAAGTGCAAAGATCACATGATGGCAAAATGATTTCAAACACCAGGTGCTGACTGAAGGATCTGGCAGCTAGAGGGAAGCTGACGTGAGGGTAAAAGTGGTATGTAGAATGTATGCGTGTGTGAGTGTGATCTCTGTCCACTGAAATGGCCTAGAAGCAATGTCACTCCAGTAGCAACAAACACTGGTGGTTCACACTCCCCAGTAATAAGAACAAAGGTTATTCCATGGAGAAATGCTAAATCTAGTGTTGGTGCAAGGAGGGAACAAGGAGACTGTGAAATGTATTTTGTGCTAGAAAGTAAGACAATTTTCAAAAATTAGTAAGTCATGTCAAAAGGATGTAGGAACCAATATGAAGGGTCTGTCTGGCTGAAGTTGTAATAATTTGAGCACTAGAAAGAATCATAATTCAGGCCGACCAAACACACTGAATCACTGAAAATCTGTGACTCCACAATGATCAATAAGGAAAGGCAGAAAAACTCATTGTTAGTATTTAAAGCACCTACTAAACAAGACCTCTGTGCTTTCTGCTCAATTTTGCTGTTAACTGCTCTGAAGAAAGTTTGTTAATTAAAAAAGATAACCACACTTGAAAAATGAGCAATTAAAGAGAAAGAAAGAATTAAGCATTTATTTTGCCTTTTTCCAGTAGGAATTCTATATCAAGTTAACCAAGTTTGTAAACTAAAGCTCTACATTACTGAAGAGTGTCAGGCAATAAAGATAGAAGAAACAAAACAATTTTAAATTTTTTCCCCTAATTTTAACAGAATTATTTGATGCTTATAAGGATTAGCAATTGGTTATTAAAAAAAATAGGTAAACAACAACAACAAAATTAGGTAAACAGTTAATCCACGTAGTGCCAAAGAATATCATATATAAATTTCCTTTGAGTGTCAAAAATACTTACAGAATAATAATAACAATAAATATATCACATTTTGGAACTTATGAAATGTACATAAAATGATATTCAGGGAAAAATTTATAGCATTAAATATTTATAGTAGAAAAAGAAGAAAGGCTGAAAATAAATTACCTAAGTGTCCAGTTTAAAAGTTTGAAAAGAATAACAAGTTAAAGCTAAAAATGTTGGAAGAAAAGATGAATAGATATATATTTAATTAACAAACATTTGTTATGTGCCTAAGCTATTCTGGGTTCTGGATTAATCCATGAACAAAACAGACAAAAATTCCTGCTCCATTGGAGCTAACATTCTTGTATGGAAGATAGAGGTAAATATAACAAAAAATATAGTACATTTCGTGTTTCAAGATGAGTGGTATTTATTTATTTATTTATTTATTTTTAAAGTTTTTTTTTAAATTTTTATTTATTTATGATAGTCACACACACAGAGAGAGAGAGAGGCAGAGACATAGGCAGAGGGAGAAGCAGGCTCCATGCACCGGGAGCCCGACGTGGGATTCGATCCCGGGTCTCCAAGATCGCGCCCTGGGCCAAAGGCAGGCACCACCCAGGGATCTCAAGATGAGTGGTATTTAAAAAGAATAAAATAAGGATACAGAAATATTTAACAGCAGAAATCAATTAAAAAGAAATCAAAGATCCAACAGAGAGGAATAACAAAGCACAAATTATATTCTTTAAAAATCTCTAACAAAATTAACAGTATCCTGGTGAAAATGACAAAGCTTAATATGACTTGTCATTGTTCAGGTGTGGCTTGGTGGCCACTCATATGCAGGATAAGCTCCAGTCTTTTACAGAATAGTGTGGAAACATCAAGAAGTTTAAAATGGGAATGCCTCTTGATTCTGTGATTTTACCCCTCTGCCTTTATCTTAGCTCACATATCTACCTGTACCTATGAGTGTTCTTAGCAGCATTGGTTGCAACAGTAAAAAGTTGAGAACAACCTAAATGTCTATCAGAAATTAATAAAATAGTATTCATGCAATCACATGCTTTGTGAAGTAGAAATAAATTAAGTAAGCTTATGTATATTAAAAGTGATGAAAAAAATAAAAAAATAAAAGTGATGGATCTCCTGAACATAATGTTCACAAAAAGAATCAAGTTGTGGACAAAATAGTGTATGACCTCAGTTATATACAGTTTAAAAAGTCACACAATAACACTATGTATTTTTTTTAGGAATGTATATATACATGTATAGTAATACTTTAAATAGATATATAAATATAACAAATGCAGAATATAGCATGAAAAAGGGATCAGGGAACAGTAAACGAAGGGTTTAACTGTGTTGAGAAAGTTTTGTCTTTATTTCATTGGTGATAACATGAGTATTTGGTCATTTTGATTATGTCATTACGCTTTCTTAAGTATTACATACTGCTTGAAGATACAAATTTTAACAATATTCTATTTCTCTCCATTCCAGTTGCCACTATCCTGGACTGGCCAACCACTGTTTTTTTGGGACAATTGCAATGACCTCTAAATACACCTCCTGGCATCTCTTGTTCTCCTCAAATTTATTTTTATTTTCTTTATTATAGCCAGAACAGTATTTTTTAGACCCAAATGTGTCACTAGTTGCTTAAAACACCTCAAGGGTTTCCCACTGCCCAAAGATAAAAGGTTAACTTCTTGGGACAACTTGAGAGGTCATTTTTTTTTTTAAATTCCATTTATTTATCCGTGAGAGATACTGCAAGAGAGGCAGAGATATAGGGAGAGGGAGAAGCAGGTTCCCTGTGGGGACCCTAAGCAGGACTCAATCCCAGGACTCCTGGATCATGACCTGAGCTGAAGACAGACGCTCAACTGCTGAACCACCCAGGTGCCCCATTTGACAGGTCTTTATCTCCCCTGCCTCTAATCATTTCTGCAGATTCCTTGTCCTTCCCTTCACAATCATGCTCTAGCCTTACTGACCTGCTTCCCATTCCCCTTGAACTGTTCTGTCTAACGTGGTCTCCACACACCCTAATCCCCTTTCAAAGAATATCATCTTTCACTCTCCCCCTCCATCTGCTTTCCTGTCCCTGAAATCTGCCCTTCCCCAACCTGGGTACCTGGCCAAGTCCCATTTATTTTTAGGTTTCAGCAGAGAAAGTCATCCCTGGCCCCTGGAAAGTCTGGGCCAATATAACTCTTTTATGCGTTCCCAAGTGCCTAGTTCTTCCACCTAATTTTATATCTTTATTTGGGTAATGAGGACTCATTCTTTTGTTATAGTCAATTTTCTGACTCACCTACAAGATGATAAACCCAATATAATCAACATTGTTTTCCCATGCCAACAGCTCAATATATGTATTTTTAATCAAAAGACTGAACAAATCTAATTGCTAGGTGTTTGAGTCACAATTTCAGCTGAGAATTGAGAAAACTTTAAAAAACCAGAAAGCAACCACATATCCATCAAAGTGCCTCTTACATTGCTTAGTGGGAGTGTGTATTTGTGCAGCTACTTTGGATAGAGTCTTGTATCCCCAGTGAGCTAGATATGTGTATGCCTTATGATCTACTGTTTCCACTCCTGAATATGTAGCCAGGAGAGATGAATGCATATACCTACCAACAACCCATATGAAAATCTAGGCATCTCTTTGTAGCCAAAGTCTGAAAGCGCCCCAAATATCCATCAGCAATAGAATAGATAAAGAAACGTGGTATGTTCATACAATGGAAGCCACACAACAACAAAAACAAATGAACTGCAGATTCTCACAAGGACATAATTCAATCTCACTGACATGATGTCAACTGAAGGAGATCAGGCTCTCAATAGAGCTTATACTTCATGACTCCATGTCTATGGAGTCCTAAGAACGGCAGAACTCAGCTATGTGATGGAGGTTGGGATGGTGAGCATGGGTAGAATGGCAGGGGAGAGGGATTGTCTCTATAGTCAGCAATTACAAAGTGTTGGAAAACCACAGAGTTTCTTCTAAAGCTTCATAACCTTTTTTTTCTATACAAGTTGGAGTTGCAGGATTTTTCAAATTCATACTTCCCTGTTTCATTCATTTTGGAATTGACATAAGTTCTAGAAACGCATTTTTTAAAAAAGATTTATTTATTTATTTATTTGAGAGAGAGAGGGAGAGTGTGAGATTGTGTGTGTGCAAGCAGAGGAAGGGGCAGAGGGATAGAATCACAAGCAGACAATGCGGGGTTTGATCTCACGACCCTGTGATCAAGACCTGGGCTGAAATCAAGAATCCGATGCTCAGCCAAGTGAGCTACCCAGGTGCCCCTCAAATGCATTTCTTAAGAAAGGTAGTGTACAGATGATCAATAATCTTTCTCATGTGTAATTAAAATAATTGAGACACTGTGCAAAAGTAGGAGGAAAAGAACCGTGGCTGCTGGGGCACCTGGGTGGCTCAGTCAGTTAAGCATCTGCCTTCAGCTCAGATCATGATCTCAGGGTTCTGGGATCAAGCCCCACATCTGGCTACTTGCTCTCCCTCTCCCTCTATACCCCCCTCCACTTGTGTTCTCTGCAGTCTCTTCCTCAAATAAATAAGTAAAACCTTTTTTTAAAAAAAAAAAAGAACCATGGCCAAAGACCTAATTTCCTTCCTTAAATTCGTTTGTGTGTGGTTTTGATGCTATTAGAAGGAATCAAACAAAAACTTGCAATTTCCAAATAATGACTGAAGAAATCATTAATTCCTTTAAAAAAAGATGATGTAAATGATGCCACTTTTACTGCAGGGCCACTGTGAATGGGAGAAGGGAAAATACAGTGAGAAGTTAACAAAAATCTACAATTTGCAAGAGAACTTTCATTTTTCTTTTACATGTTAAGTTTCCAGGGTACCTAGGTGGCTCAGTGATTGAGCATCTGCATTTGGCTCAGGTCATGATCCCGGAGTCATGGGATTGAGTTCTGCATCAGGCTCCCCAGAGGGAGCCTTCTTCTCCATCTGTCTATGTCTCTGCCTCTCTCTGTGTCTCTCATGAATAAAAAAAAGGCAAGTTCCCCTAATCCTATTTGTATTTAATTTTTAGTTGTCAATTTATTAGTCACATATTCCTATATATTAGTTTATCTACTTTCGATATGGATCAGGCCAATTGGGCAGAACCAGGGATGTCTCTGTAAAAACAGCCCTCCAAAAGCGTCAAAAGACTTAAGCACTGAAAACAATTCAAATATTAATTATTTGTGAAGGTATAATGTACATTCACAGATATTGACATTTGTGGTATGTAATTGCTGCACCTGACTACACTAAAATTTGCTAACAGATGATTTTTTAAAAACAAGTATACCTTGCATTTGTAATCTATGAATTTTAAACACCTGTAGTTTACTTGGTTAATTACCAAGCTCATTCAACACATCTGGCTTCTCTGTCTTTGTGTTAATCAATAATTATTTGATCACAATGTTATGCCTTTTATGCTAATCAGGATTTTGAGACCATAAAATTGTGCTACCTTTGTGCTTCATGCTGGCACTAATGTGTTATATTTATAGTGTAGTGTATTCATAATTCATGCATACATATGCATGTATGCACACATTTTACTTCATTGGTGCAACAGAAAATTTTCTTTTCAATCTGTTTTTTCTTTTTTTTTTTTTTTTTGCAAAGTTCACTACATGAAAAGAATAACTACTTATTTTTAATTGTGGTAGGAAAAATTCCTCATTTAAGAAAAAATAGATATTTGTTTCAATGTGATAGAATTATTTTTGAAAAATAGAAGGAAAAGTCATGTGGCCCTTGTAGTTGTTCCTTTTTTGAAAGGTATTTGGATAAATAGAACAATATTGGTCTCGCTGACCTATGAATGTGGCTGCTGGTGTGGTTTAAAACCCTCTACAAAAGAAGACTATTTTTCTTAATTGCTTCCTTGCTGAAATAATTGTGAAGGCTGGAAAGAGGTCTGATTAATTGCAAACTTGGATGTGGTAAAAACCTCTCTGGCAGGTTCTTATCTATCACCATCAATCTCAGATTGCACAGTAACCATCTTGGAAGCCTTGCAAGACGCAGCCTCTTGGGATGTGGAAGTTTCAGAGACAGTGACTTAAATACAACCCTGGTTGGATATTCACTGTAGCAGGGGGATGTCTATTAACCCATTCTTATTGCTTGACTCCTCATTAGGATCTTTAAAGTTCCACACAAATCTTTGTGTGTTTATGTGTGTGGCAGTGTTATGCACTGTACAGTGGGGAGGAGCTGAACTGAGAATAAAAGCCCACCTCTGCCCCTTTGTAGCTATTTTCATTTTGAAATATTGTTCCCCTTTATATCTCCCCAGATCCTTTGATATGACCACATGTCATCATACCAAGTTTGGACATGCCTCATGCCAACAACAGTTCTATCTATGCCCTTCATCTAAACAGGATTAAGTTAGCACCAGCCAGATATTCCCCAAGTTGTACAAAGTCCAGTGGCCACAAAGGAGTTACCTAAATAATGGATATATTGTTTCATTTTCTTACTGTTTAATTCTTTTAGGAATAATGCTATTTAAGATCATTTCCCTTTTTTTTTTTTAACCCCACAGCTATCATGGAAGTATCTATTCTGGGGTTTTAAGGAGCTCAGGGTGCTTCTAAAACATTAATTAATTCATATTAGAAAGTGAATTCTTACTAGCAGTGAATAATCCCAATAATTTTAATGACCCTAAATGAAGTAAAGATTATTTTCAGCTCTCCTTAGGTAAAGTTGCAGTTGTAATTTTCCAAAGAATATTTAAGTCCCTTACAATTTGCTAATCATGGGGAGAAATAGAATTTTTTTTCTTTATAGATAACTACTTTTATTTTATTTTAAAGATTTTATTTATTTATTCATGAGAGATAGAGAGAGAGACAGAGGGAGAAGCAGGCTCCATGCAGGGAGCCCGACGTGGGACTTGATCCCGGGTCTCCAGGATCACGCCCTGGGCTGAAGGTGGTGCTAAACCACTGAGCTACCCGGGCTGCCCAGATAGCTACTTTTGAATCAAACTAACTTGTCCAAAACATACTTAGCCTCTTTTTCTCTAAGCACCTAGATGAAGACACATACTATTACACAAAGTAGAAAACCTCCTCTCCTTCACAATTCTGCCTACATCCACTAAACAGTTCTCCTACCAGGAGCTGGGATTATTTCCATGGGGGGGAACTTCAGGTAGATCTTCAGGGATGCTGGTAATTGCAGTGACTCCACCTTTTGCAATGACTGAAGGAGTAACTAACAGTATGAGGCCACAAGTGTGTGTCTATGCTTGCTTTATTTCTCTTCTGTCTAAACACAAAAGTCCAACAGTGTAGGTTTTCTCCTGTGAACACAATAATTTCACTATACTTATGGAACATTATAAATTTAAACCTCTTATTAGGTCACAAGATTTTCTCTGAGAATCATTGCATAAATTTTTCCTTGCTCGGCCCTTTAACAGAAATACTGTTTACAAGCACTGTTCTCTACCCATCATATGGCAAAAAAAGTTCATACTTTCTTAATTAGCACTTCATAATCCCAAATACCTAGTCTATATTAATTATATTGCACAACAAAGCTCTTTAGAACTATTTTAATTCAGAGCCAGTTATGCAGCCCTTATGTGACTCACACAGACTGCTATATTTTTCCTGTAAGAACGGTGCTTTGAGTATCTCGGCAACCAGTACTAAGGCCTGATGGCATCTTCTATGTTATTTGAGGATAAGAATTGTGCATCAGGAGCTC